GCTGAACTGGAAAATTCAGGATACACGTTTTCCTCGGTGGGTAATTGTTCTCTAATCGTTTCATCGGTTCCGAGATTGGTCGTAAGATCGCGACCACTTTAGATTCCTTCTTAACGATTTATCATTTCCTCGGTTAATAACGTCGTTAACTACAACTAACAAATTATCGATACCGACTGAAACTCGATCGATCATCGAAGTAGGAACGCCTTGGAATATCGTTAAATACATTCGCGAGATCCAATGTTTCTCGATTTGCCAATCAATTTTTCAAGTTTATCCGAATTTTCTCGTTTGTAGCGAGGTAATCGACGAAGACGATAGTTTGATACGAAACGGGCAATAAACGTAAACGAAGAGGCAGAAGTGGCTAGCGGGGCACGGCTAAAACGAGATGTCGGTAAATTATCATTAAAATTCGGGAGCCGCGAGGCAAGCGGGAGCACGTCGTCGCTCGCAGCGAGCGAGTCTCGTTTAAAATCGGACCGTGGCTTTTTTATTCGCGAGAATTTTCTCTCACGTGTCGGCTGGCAGCAAAAGAGGAAGCCGCGGAAAGGTGAAACGAGGCGAAAGCTCGAAAGTCTCCGGTTCCGGCGTTCCTCGTCACCCGCTAATAACTGTAACGACCTCTGGAACATAACGAACCGGCTTTTAAGAAAGATACCGTTAGCGACGATGCTACACAGAGGGGGAGCCAGCAGACAGTTTGTACACCATAGTGCGCAGTTGCACGTGCCTCGGGACAAACTTTACACCGAACGTTGCGTTGTGCCGCGTTTTCTCCCGAATCTTTTTCGCGACGAGACCAAAGGAAAAGGTCAAGAGTCGAGCCAAGAGTCCAAGGAAGCACAAATATAATGAGAAAATTACACCGTGCTCCCGAGTTACGCGCCGTTTTATCGTTCGTCGATCTCCAGCGATATATTCCTCGAAACGTTTCGCCGTTCCACGTAGCAGTTCTCTTCGATGTGGGCTTAAACGTAAGAAGGTAGAAGAAGAATGTACGCGACGTGATTTCGCTCCGGTAAGGCTGACGAGGAAATGTGACCGGCATATTGTGTTTCCCAGCGGTCTCCCTGATTACGAACTTTACACTAAACTCGCCATTGTCGTAGTTGGGGAAACGTTGAATTAGACATGCCAAGTCGCTCAATGCGAATAATACTCGTAATAGCTGCAGAGGTAACCGACGATAGCGTAACGGCACTTATCGTTTCGATAAATCTACGTGCCTCGAATTTATTAATAATACCGACTAATAATACTTTTTGGGAACAGTATTGCAGGTATATACCGAGGTACCGTACGGTTTATTAAACATCGACGAATATGGTATTACGCAGTCCCTGGAAAGAAGAAATTTCGAATTCCTGTTGGCAGTAAGTAGAGCTTAAAGGTTAAATCGCTCGAGTGGCACACGGTACTCGAGGTATTGTCCAAAGTTTCGACATTAGACATTACTTTGTTCCTATCGTTACGACGGTATCGCTCGGATGAAGGTTGAGCGCTGTCCTGTTTAGAAAACATAGGACCTCTACTTTGTCTCCGTTTCGTCCCATCGACGCCATTAAAGGTAAATATCATACCGATTTTACGCAACGATTTGTCGTGTATTTTTTCGCAATTTTAAGAGACGATTTCGATGCTTTCTCGTAGGTATGCGATTGCCGACAAGGACTGTATTTCACGTACATCAGCCGAGTATATAATTCATTAACCAAAGACCCCCGAGAGGCGATGGAAGAAAGATAGGTTAGGAAGGAGCGATTAGCCAGGCTTCCGTTGCCACGACCGTGGCTCGTGGTAGGGAGGTAAGTCGCGGTGCGAAATAGAGGAAAGGCACGTCCCCGAGGCGGAGGATCGCGGCGACACCCGTTATATGCGAATTCGTAGCGTAGAGTTGTAGAGTCGACTCTCCGATATCGAGCGGGAGGCCCAGCGAGGGTTGCGCTCGCGCACACATACATGCTCGAGCAGCCGACGCACACGTACGTCGCTAGAGCTTACACGTGCGCAGGCTCCCACCTCTACGACCTACCACCACCAGCAGGTGCCCGAGGATGGGGAGGAATTTCGAGAGAAACGAAGAGGAAAGTAGGGTGCAGGGTAGCGGTGAGTGAAACGGCAGATATCAGAGTGTGGCTCCTCTGCTGCCGGAGGAGGAAAGGGATCGGGTGGAAGAGAAAGAAACGAAGTGCCGGAAAGTGGCGACGAAAGAGAGGGAAGGAGTAGAGAAAGAGCACGGTGGAACCGTGGAAAAGAGAAAAAGCAACGGGACAGCGTCGTCGTAGTCGTCGCCGACGTGGTCCTCGTCGTCGTCGTCGTCGTCGTTGTCATCGTTGAAGAAGAAGAAGAAGGAGAAGAAGAAGAAGAAGAGGAGGAGGAGGAGGAGGAGGAGGAGGAGGAGGAGAATACGCTTCGTTGGAGGGAAAGAGAGTCAAACAGGGTGGGGTATAGGGTGTAGAACGAGAGGGAAAACACGATTGCTTTCGTTGAGGGGAAAGAGGAACGACTACTCGGCGAAAAGCGGAGAAAGACGGAGGGTTGGAACGACGAAGAAAGAGAGCACACGGAGGGTAGGCGAGGATGATGGAGGACGTCCAATGTCGATGAAGGAGATGGAAGAAGCTGATGCGAGCAGGCCAGTAGTGAGAATGGAAGTTAGGAGTGGGAAAGAGAGGCCTTTCGAGGGACAGTGTAGAGCGAAAAGGAGACGGGTATAGCGGAGAAGAGAGGAGAGTGGATGGTGGCGGAGGGAAACAGAGGGAGACGTAGCAAGGTGGTGGAAAAGGTGGGAAGAGGGAAGGGAGGAAAGTCGAGAGAGAGGAACGGAACGGAACAGGGTTGTTCCAGTGTGCAGCGGGCGGGCATCGCGGCGGGGGCGCCGTTCTGCTGCTCCTGTATATCCATCCAGGGTTATATGCACCATCCACCGCATCCTAAAGATCACGACGGCGACGACGAGGAGGAGGACGACGACGACGACAACGACGACGACGACGACGACGAGGCCGACGACGAGGCCGAGGACGAGGACGTGGACGAGGACGAGGACGAAGACGAGAACGAGAACGAGGACGAGAAGGAGGACAAGAACGAGAACGAGGACGAGGATAGCGACGAAGCCGCCGGGAAGTAGAAGGAGAAGGCGAAGCAGAAACAGGATATCCGGCGACATCGTTCGTATAGAAGACTAAGAGAGTGGTGACTCTTCGCGTAGACGACGATTATCCGCGTTGGTACCGGTACAGAGAGGTACCAGAGATCGGAAAACGCGTCGCGGACGTTTCCTCGAATACGCTACCCGCGTCGCGAACGTTGACAGTGAAAATCGTTTTCGGGTAACGAAGGACAACGCGTGTTCGATCTAAGTAACGGAAACTAGAAAAGGAAAGAGAGGGAGAGAAAGAGAGAAAGAGAGGGCAAGGGAGAGAGAGAGAGAGAGAGAGAGAGAGAGAGAGAGAGATCGAAGGGAATTGAAAGAGAAATTAGAGACTGCGCGAAGACAAAGGGGAAGAGAAGTGGTGGATACAGACAAAAGGAAGAAGAGACGGGGTGGAAGAGAGCGGAGGAGTAGCAGAGAGGAAAGAGAAAAGGGTAGAGAATAGAAGAGGGTAAAAGGAAAGGGAGAAAAGAGTAAAAAAAGAGAAGAAAAGAAGGGAAAAAAGAGGAAAAAGTGAAAGGTAGGTCCACTCGTGGAAGGGAGCCATCGAAGGTGGAGGAGCATGCGAGAGCAGCTCCTCGGTGTTTCAACATGACCCACCAGCCTTAGTAGGGTACCTCTGCTGGCGTACACCCTCCGCGCCGCGACACGATACGACACGCAGGGGGAGGTGGAGGAGGCGGAGGTGGTGGTGGTGGTGGTGGTGGTGGCGGAGGAGGCGGGCAGAGAGGTGGTGGAGGACGGGGGAGCGGGGGAGGCGGAGGTGGAGGTGGAGGTGGACGGTGGAGAAGAAGAAGACGAAGGAGGAGAAGGAGGAGGAGGACGGTGGACTCGCTAACGACGGCGAACGTCCTCGAGGGTGCAAGATACCAGCACCAGCAACATCACCGACGACGATGATCGTGACAAGCGGCGAACGACGTACATGTTGGAGGAGGAGGCGGCGGTTCGCGGTTGCGGTACTGGCCTCGGCCCTACTGACCCTAGCGATTGGTCCCATGCCGACCGTGGGACACAGGCCAGCACCGAACAATCCGATCATTCTACAGACGAGCACCAGCACGACAACTACGCCCTTCTACGTGCACTCGGTGAACGGTACCGTCCTACCGAATGGCAACAATAACAATAACAATGAATTCGACGTACACGCGGACGACGGATACAACAGTACCATCCATCATCACCATCACAAGAAGACCGGCGGTAACATGACCGAGGAAAAGGCGCCTCTCTTTCCCGACGATCTCTTTACCGTCCATCAACGACGACACGGTGCCGTGTTACTTCACGTAGTCGGTGTGGTGTACATGTTCGTCGCACTGGCGATCGTCTGCGACGAGTTCTTCGTACCGTCTTTGGACGTGATCATCGAGAAGTTCGAGATCGCCGACGACGTTGCAGGTGCTACCTTCATGGCGGCCGGTGGTTCGGCCCCGGAACTCTTCACATCGATAATCGGCGTGTTCGTGTCGTTCGACGACGTCGGTATCGGCACCATCGTCGGTTCGGCCGTCTTCAATATTCTCTTCGTGATCGGCATGTGCGCTATATTCTCGCGTACCGTGCTCTCCCTCACATGGTGGCCTCTATTTCGCGACTGTACCTTTTATAGCGCCAGTCTGCTCACTCTGATCTATTTCTTCAGTGATAATTTTATTCACTGGTACGAGGCTCTCGTACTCTTCGGATTCTACTTGTTTTACGTGAGCTTCATGAAGTGGAACAAACAGATGGAGAAATTCGTGAAGAGACTGCTCTCCAGAAACAAGGTGACCCGGGTCAGGTCTACCGATCAGCTGATGCCCTCGGTATGTACGCTGTTTTATACGCAAACGGTATGCACACCGAAACCGAAAAAAAAAAAAGAAAAAAAGAGAAAAAGAGTAAAAAAGTAAAAAACAAAAGAGAAACACGCGATACACACGAACGCTCCTCCGAAACAGGACTCCGGGAACAGATCCCTCATCCATCCACCCTCTTCGCGCGGTTTTCCTTCTCTTTTATCCAGGCGTCGTCGGATCGATCTACGTACGACCCGTGTGTCCCTACGTACATACTTACTACGACCGGCTCGCTCGTGTTACTCTCTCCTCACCGTCGCACCGTTTTTCGTCCTTATTGCTAAATAATTGGAAGAACGTTCGCGTGACTTTGCCTACTCGCACGGCTACTTACTCGCGAGCGGTGCTTTGTCCCGTCCACGGACATTGCCACATTTCCACCCCTTATCGGCCGCGCTCTTTTTTTTCCTCCCTTTCCTTTCCCCTTTCCTTCCCTTTCCTCTCTTCTCCCCTATATTTCGGTGAACCAGGTTGATCGAGCACGGGGTCGCGACATTGGCCACGTTACCGATTAATCGGCCCTCCTTCTCCCACGACCAACCGCCTCTCCTCTCCTCCGCCACCTGACCCTCGCCTTCCGATCGCTTTTGATCGAACAATCGCCACGACCTCCTTCGTATCACGGGGATATATCCTCTGTGTACTTTAGCTGATAGAATAGGATTTGCGAACGACCCGTTTTATTACATGCTCGAACATCGACTAACCGTTTTACCTCCGTTCCATCGATTCATCCTCCTTCTCGTTGTATTTTTAATAGGGGAAAGAAGCCGGGAGCCTCGAAAATCTCCCGTTTCTCCGTCGCGCGGCTAAACGAAAGCGGAATTTCATTACGACCAACGAGAACGCTCCCTCGATCCTCGCGATTAATTCTCGCGATGCTTCGCGCGAGCTCGATCTCCGCGGTTAAAGCTCGGCGAAAAAACCCCGAGATGGCCCAATTACTCGCGTCTAATTACTATACTTGCCACGCGCCCTCCTCGAGCACGAGTCGCGAAGAAACTAGGCGGAAGTAACGCCGATATCGTCCCGCTGCCATTTTCCAAACCCGCAATATTCTCTCCTCGAGAGATCCGCCGCATGCCGCATCTTCCGTGCGATGATCGATAGAGCCCTGGCCAACGATTCACCCGCGATCTCGATCCCCGATCACGGCTGCTACCCTCTGCGTTTAGACTTACCCCGCTGTTCTTTTCGCGAGCCTAGCCTGCACGCTGCACGCTCCATTACGCGCGTCACACGCACGAGGAAAACGCTCGGTCGTGAACTTGGACGATGGCTGGAATTTATGGGGATGCAAATTTATGGGGAATAAATCCGTGCTGTCCGTCGAATTTTTCGGTTACCAGTTTAGGGATCGTTTTGGATTAGGTTACTGAAGTTAGGTTACTCGAACCTAATTTTTTCGAAATACACCATCTATAGTCCCATGGTCAAGGACCGTGTTAGGTGGACCACTGAGGAATATTCGTAATTGGTGTCGTTTATCGCAGAAGTTCCCTAGCTGGGGAAATAGGGGAATAGTGCTTCTTCGTTGTACAGTTAACATTCGTTTAATCGATTTATTCTCGTCGAGGATGAAGATGATCTGTAGCTAGTGTTTATCCAGTTGCTTCTATCTGTTTATTACAGCTAGAAATGGTCAGTGTGTTATTTGACAAACGAAATTACCATTTTACGCCAAACATATTGATGTTGAAGAGAGTAGACTACAGAAACGGAGAAGCTGACTTTAAAATAATTAATTTCTCCCCAACAAGGATGGTATCTTGAGTAGAAGCTTCTGCAGGACGGCCATTGATCGATCGATCTGCGGGAATGGATTATCGAAATTGGAGGACCGCATTTCCTAATGATTTTTAAATACATCGATTCATCTTCGCCTGACACTAATATTTTAATTAACAGATTGGACATTTCCGCAGCTACCGTCTGTGTTCATCAGCTTCGTGGACGAAATCGACAGCCAGTTGGTTAATCCGTTTGGAATTGGAAAGTGGCGAAGAGAGAAAGAAGCCTGCGTCACCTTGCTGGTTGCTGGGACACGAAAGACAATATTTACCACTCGCCATCTGGATATCGTGCGTCGGAGATCGTTCGTCACATGACTGCGACAACGTTAATTGCGTTATCAAGATCGATAGAATCCAAAGCGACCATTATAACGCCGTATAAAAGCGAACGCCAGGCTGTCGTGAGACAAACTCGTAAATCCTCGGTTGGTATGAAAAACCGAGGCAGGATTCCGCGTGAAAATTACGTCGGAGAATCTCGCGATCAATTACTCCGTGTCTTCGTCCACGGCTGAAATCGTTTCCGGCGTCGTTCGTACGGCGAAGAACTGAAACGCCACTGTCAATTATCCCTAGATAAGTGTCTAGAGTGCGAAATATAATTCTCTTATTGACACTGATCACCGCGGAGAAACGGAAGGCCGGCAAACGACTGCATAATTGAAAACGGAATTTACGTTCTCCGCCTGGTTCCTCAAATTTAATTTCCCTCGCGAGAGTCGGCCATGTCTCTCGCGCGCGACTCGCGAATTTTCACCGGGAATTTTCGAAATTCTTCAAAAACACGAAGACTGGCGCGAAACTGCCTGCCTGGACTGACACGCGAAGTTGCTCAGAAGACGAGGAGATGCAATCGGAAGATTAAAGGTGGAATTAATGCGCGAGGGTGCAATAGTTGAGCGAGGAGCTGATGCTCCGCGGACGACAGGCATCGTCTTTTTCTCTGTCCCATTTTTGTCTTTTTCCACGACGGTCGCTTCGAAATCTTCCTCGAAGTTACGGCATTGCAGTGTGCAGAGGCCCTCCACCCATCGTCGAATCGATTCGACAGAGGCCCTTCCGCGCTTAACCTCGCCGCCACGATATACAACCACCGAGCTCGTGCACGCTCTACCTTCCTCTTTGCGTTACATAAAACGTACGTACGCTGGTCAAATGCACGCCCGAGTTGCCAGCAATCTGCCTACCAAACCCGATTCACCGCACCGACCCCAAGTGTTGCCACGGTGCCGGCGAACCCGAGGGCTGATGCTAATGATATAATTAGCCTCTCCGTGGGTCTTGGCCTCTCCGTGTCCAGGTGACAACGTTTACTCGCTGGAAACACGCGAATTCGTGCACCCCGAGTACCTCGACCCTGGATCCCGCGGTCTTCGGGGTTCGATTCCATGCACGAGGGAAGCGGGTCTCGCGTGAACCCCGATTTGAACCCTGCGAGGTTAAAGGCGAGCTAAAGCATCGTAATTGCTCGCTGCTCAACCATAACGCGCGCTAGCTTTCGTAAATATATTATAAATTAATCCTCGCCTGACGAGGTTAGGTCCAAGTCCTCCTGGACTCGTTGTTTGTATATGCACCATGCACAATCGCACGCGATACAACGGTGCCGTGTTTTACGTATTACGAGTAATAAATTATGTACAAATGTATTATACATTCGAATCTCGGGATTATAACCGGCCCGATAATAACTAGCTCGATCCATTTAATCCTCTGTTACTTTGGTTTTATACAGAACGAGCGATAAAATCGCCTTTTCAGAATTTTTACTTAGACCGCTTTCGTAGTTATCGTCGCAGTACCAGGAGCGAACGCGTCGATTCGAATTTCGCGCCAGAAACGTTCCAGAAACGAGAGTCTACGCTCTATAGTACCTCGTGCACCGTGGAGAACGCGTTAACCTCGAGGGGACGTAGAACCAAACGAAAGTGCTTGAAATATGGCGAGGAAATGCGTCGAAAGATGCGACATGGAAACGAAGAATACAGAATTATTCGAAAATATCAAATATGTACTCGCATAGAGGCGACACGAGCGCTTCCCTCGGGTGATTAATAGAATTACTAGTCATCTGGCGGGAGATTACAATTGCAACTCGCGGGGATGCGGAATTTCATAGTTATCGTGGCGAAGTGGCCCAGGGCGAATGGTATCCGCGTTACCTGCATGCTGATACGGATGGTTGGAAGAATACGCGAACTTTTCGCGAAAGGAAATGGTATATCCGACGTCCCCAAGTTTGGCCTGGGAGCAAGATCTGGCAGTTTCTCGTCGAGATGGAATCCCAGAGTGAAAAGTTTCGCCGATGTGATCGAGTCGCGGGGCTTCCGAGCACGGGACGAATCACGGTGCACCTGGAAACCGTGATTTTTAAAGAAGAGAAGGATCTTCTCTGAATAAACGAGCTCGAAACTCATCGCGCAGGCGTGTTCCCGGCGTTCGTCATGGTAGTCTTCCGCTCGAACTACGCCTAGCATAGCCGAACTTGAATGCAAACGTGGATCAGTAGACCTGAACTTTGGAATATATTTAAATAACCATATTCTCGTTTGATGCCATCTTTTCTATAGTCGGATTTCTCGCCTGGGACTCTCGTGCATTCTCTAAAGCTGGTCTGTGATCTTTCTTGAGATTGGTAGCAGGGTTGTATAGGTTAGAAAATTGTGAAATCCGAGCATGACGGACGTACCCGGAGCAAAGTGAAGCGATATTTGCGAAGACTTCGAGGAAATCTCGTACGTGGAATGTCGTTGATGTTTTATTGGTCGATCGAGTTGTCTTTCCGTTAATATCGAGGACTCGTTTCCGGAGGGCAAACGTATGTTTGGAAGGTAAAGTTGAGGGTAAAAAGATCCTGTTTCGACCCGAGGGATTAACGTTTGCGATCGAGCTACGATCCTCTGTGTCGACAGCGCGCGAACCAGTCGGAAGTTTCATTTACCCTCCAATTAGGGATGCCCGACGCTCGGAATTGCGCGCAACTTTTGATTAGATTTGCCCCGAAAAGTAATACGCTGTCCGAGTTATGGCTTGTTTCGCTTTGTACGGTGTACAATTAACCGGCCGTAATTAGGGGAACAATCTAGCTTGGCAATTGTTTCGCTGCGGCGAGCGGCAGGCCGGTAAATAAAAGATTTCGAAGGCAAAGGTAGCGAATAGACGAACGAAACCGCTTATCCAGGTTGATGGACGATTGTTGGGAAGAAAACGGTGCTCGAGAAAAGGAAAAAATTGTTTCGAATCCAGCGCCGCCTGCTTTTTCCCGGGAAAAGGTATTTTCGTCTGCTAACGATAATGCGCGGCCGAGATTCTTTTGTTAAAATATCGATTCGCGGCTGGAAATTCGTCCCGTTACCTTGACCAATGACATTTCCGCGCTTTTCCAAAAAACGATGCATTTCTCGTCGGCCAGGTCTGCAACGCTCGAAGAATCGCGATCCTACGCGAATGCGTGTGCGGTGGTCGATCGATCGCAGCTTGCGCGATCATCGACGTTTCGTTTTTCGCCAATTTTCGCGAATTTTCGCGAATAATTTGAGGACTGATACACGGTGAGATTTGTCGGAAAAAAGGATTGCGATCTTAGGTTAATAGGAGTGTGATAATCGATCGTTGGTAGCTTATTCGATAATCAACTTAATTTTTCTCGCGAATTATCGTGAATTATTATGAATTTTCGCGGATTTTCGCGAATAATTTGAGGACTGATACACGGTGAGATATGTCGGAAAAAGGGATTGCGATCTTAGGTCAATAGGGGTGTGATAATCGATCGTTGGTAGCTTATTCGATAATCAACTTAATTTTTCTCGCGAATTATCGTGAATTATTATGAATTTTCGGGAATTTTTGCGAATAGCTCGAGGAGTAATACATGGTGAGATCTGTCGGAGAAAAAGATTGCGATTTTAGGTCAATAGGGGTGTGATAATCGATCGTTGGTAGCTTATTCGATAATCAACTTAATTTTTCTCGCGAATTATCGTGAATTATTATGAATTTTCGGGAATTTTTGCGAATAGCTCGAGGAGTAATACACGGTGAGATTTGTCGGAGAAAAAGATTGCGATTTTAGGTCAATAGGGGTGTGATAATCGATCGTTGGTAGCTTATTCGATAATCAACTTAATTTTTCTCGCGAATTATCGTGAATTATTATGAATTTTCGAGAATTTTTGCGAATAGCTCGAGGAGTAATACACGGTGAAATTTGTCGGAGAAAAAGATTGCGATTTTAGGTCAATAGGGGTGTCATAATCGATCGATGGTAGCTTATTCGATAGTCGACTCGATGTTTCTCACGAATTTGCGTGAATTATTACGAATTTTCGCGAATTTTCGCGAATAGTTCGAGGTGTGATACACGGTGAGGTTAGTTTATTCGATAGTCGACTCGATGTTTCTCACGAATTTGCGTGAATTATTACGAATTTTCGCGAATAGTTCGAGGTGTGATACACGGTGAGGTTAAATGAAGGAAAAGATTGCGATCTTAGGTCAACAAGGGTGTCATAATCGATCGATGGTAGCTTATTCGTAATAGACTCGATGTTTCTTGCAAACTTTTGTGAATTATCATGAATTTTCGCGAATTTTCGCGAATAGTTTGAGGTATGATACTCGGTGAAATTTTCCGGAGAAAAAGATTGCGATCTTATGTCAACAGGGGTATGATAATCGATCAATGATAGTTTATTCCTAATAAACTCGATGTTTCTTGCAAACTTTCCTGAATTTTCGTGAATTTTCGCGAATAGTTTGCATAGTGTTGCAAAATGTAGTTAGTCAATGGAAAATGTGTCGATCTGACGCGATTAGGGTTGTGATAATCGATCGATAGTAGCTCCTGCAATAATCGCTTCGATGTTTCTCGCAAATTCACACGAGTTATCGCGAATTTTCGCGAATAGTTCGTTCAATTTTACAAAGTGAAGCTAGTCGGAGGAAAGGTTAGCAATTTACGCGAATAAGGGTGTGATGATCGATCCATTAATAGCCTATACGATGATCGATCCATTAATAGCCTATACGATGATCGACTCGATGTTTCGAACCTTGGCGAATTTTCGCGAATATTTCATTGGTTTTTATAAAACGAAGAGACAGAATAGTCGATAGAGGAGGAGAAAAGATGCACCCCTTTTTTATCGCCGAAGGGGTGAAACGTCGATGATGCGTTTCTTATTTTAAACCAATACTGCGATACGACTAGAAATATTCCTGATTCAAGCGAATCGTTCAAAATCGAGCAAGACCGAATCGAATAGATTTATCGCTCGATTAGTTCGAGTTATCGCGCTTTCCCAAAGAAACTCTGATTAGTTACATCGATCGTGGGCCAGGCATCAGTCTCTGTGTCACGAAGTTTGATCAAAAGATTACGTTAATTAACCTCTTCAACGTCGTATTTCTTTACCAAAATCGATGAAGAATTCCCAAATTTTCTTATGGCACTCAATAATTTCGATAAAAATTACAAAGAAATCGGTAGTTTCAAAAATTTCGAATATTCCAAGTATTAAGAGAAATTTTACCTAAAATTATAGCATCGTTCAAGTTGCTCTCCGATCTTCGAGCAACGTTAACAAATTATCCCAATATTTTTGTTAACGAATAACTACTGGTACCAATTACTCAAAGTCCACACAACGCTCATCGATCGTTAGAAATACGTGATCTTTAAATGATCTATAATAATTTAGCCTCTCTTTTCCTTTCGATTCTCATACGATAGTTCTCCGGAATAATCGCGCAAGGTCCGCAACTTTCGCCAATGAAATTTCGCGCATCGGGGTGGATTCTGCTAGCAGATTCGCCAGGAAAGTTAGGCGCGTGATCCAGAGGAGCTCGCAGAGCTGCGTGATTCCGCGAGTATCTCGAACGTAACCGAACTCGGGTGAAATTGATCTACTCCGTAGGTACGTCGCGTTCCCTGCTGGCAAATAAGCTCTCCGTGTACTTATAGCTCGTGCCAGTTTTCTCCGCGAGGGAACACGCAATTAAGGAATTCTTCTTGGTTCTCGGCGAGGCTCGGAAGAAGCGCGAAAACTTGGAGTGGCGAAACTTGGGATCAAAGCGGAACCTTCTCGCCTCGGATATGCCGCTGTAATCCGGTTGTCGAAACGTTTAACTGCACTCGAAACCTGCCGTGCAATTTTTTCGCTTCAGCCTCGTTCTCGCGAACCGAGACACGGCCGCTGAATTTAATTCACCCCGGGATTGCACCGAGCGTTTGGAGGAATTTATTTTCCTAACGGTGATTATCCCATCTCGAAGTTTATTAGCTTTCCTGCTCCTCGAGGACTCCTTTTTCCCCGGCACTTCCGTATCCGCTCGATTCTCAGACAGCGATGGCTCTCTCGAAATCCTTCCTGTCTCCGAGTCCAGGAAACCACCCCTGACTCGCTCACCCGATTTACGCCTCTCCCTCTACGATCCGACAGCAAACGAACCACCGAATGTTCCTCTATCTTTTACAAATAGAAAGAATAGAAGGCAGCCGTGCGAGATAGGCAGCACGCGAAACAATGCCGATTTCGAGCGGAATCGGCGTCAGAGTAACTCTATCGATCAGCGTGGAACACGTCAGAAACACGAAAAGCAATCATCGCGCCTCATAATTACTACCAAGCACTTGTTGTCGCTCGCGACGAGAGCCTTCCCCTGCTTTTCCTCTGCAAGCTTGCGAGATGTCGCGACGGAGAGAACGAAACAAACTGCATTCGGGAAACGAGATGCCGTCGTATCGATCGAAGGTCGCAATTATTTGCACGACTGAAAGTAAGTTTCAAGGATTCCGCTTCTTCTACCCCCCACTCTTATTTTTTCTCTCTTCTTCCCCCTTTTCTTCCACTTCTTCCGCTTCTTTCTCTTCTCTCTCTCTCTACATCTTGCTCTTCCACCCTTCTCTTTCTCTCTCTTTCTCTTTTCTTAGTCAACCCCTTGTCCGCTGATCGAGCCGCGACCTTCGGCCGGGCTTACGACGCCGCATAACCTTTCCTTCCCGACGCGTAATCTCTCTCTGTGCACAAGTCGATGTGAAACGCTTTCGCGAACACTGCATTCTCGTGTGTGACTGTGTGTGCCGCTTGCGAAATCACGTATCATCAACAAACAATTACTCGATTGTCGTTACCGTGATTGTAACTGGGTGTTTCTTGCTTGCAGCACCAGAGCGCCGCCCAGGCATTGGTGAGTCGCATGTCTCTATCTCTGTTTTTTCTATCTCTCTCTCTCTATCTGTCTCTGTACCTCTACATCTCTGTATACCCTCTGCGTACCACATTCACGACCGTCCACAGACTTTTCTTACGCGACCGTCGCCTGCCCGACGCTCCTCGCTGACCGGTTCCCCGGGTGAGAACCGGAGGAGCAGGAGCCCGAGCAGTCGACGCGATGCATGGTTCTGTGTCTCGTACATTGCCACGTTATGTGCCTCTTGATCGATGTGTTTATTCGTGGCAGCATTAAATCCGATGGTCCGGAAGTCACGCTCACCCCGCGCCAGTCGCGCGACTTCCGGAACGAGGTACCGCGCGGTGTTTGGCCAATGATTAACCCTCCATTGGACGATCGTTCGTTGTCTCGATTTATTTCTTAGTTACGCTCAATTTTTGTCTTCTTTCTTTATTTTTCACGAGCTAACGAAATTTTTATGGTAACGTTTAGTTGCCGCGCGAAGGGGACACACGCCTCGTCCCATGGAGCGTTAACCCTTTGCGGATGGGGTGGTTTTTAAATAGTACCATGGGGCCGAGTCGCTGCCGCGATAGTCATTCGAAAGTAGCAGAGCTCATTTCTGCTTACACGCGATTCTCGTTCTTTGCAACGCTAGCAATAAGGACATACATCAGTCCACCAATAAACCCCTTGACTACTGTGGGCGCCTATGGGTGCTTAGAAATTTTGCATTCGTGACACGAAGGGTGCCAATAGGTGCTTAGAAATTTTGCGTTTGTAACACGAAAGTCGCCTATAGGCGCTCGGCGTAGTTTAGCTTTCTGACGCGGAGGGCGCTTGTTTTCTCTTCACAAAAATGGCGCACACCGTGTCTCAATTCTTGTCGTATGGTACGGCCGCTGCGTATCAAAATCTGCCGTAGTCAAGGGGTTATCGCGTTAAACGCCACGCTGGTGTTACTTGCCGTTCCGTTCATACCACAGTTGGCCGCCATGCGGGTCCTTCTGGGCCTGAACGGAAAGTCTAAGTCTGGTTCTTAGGGACGTGGTGTTCAACGTGTTAACTTGGGACGTGCGGTCCTATGTTTACGTTTCTCGGTCATAGCAACGCGTTTACGTGGGGCACATTTATCAGTCCCTCGGCCCTATCAGTTGTGCTCATCAAACGCATATACGAGTTCCTCGGGCTAACTGATGGTTCCCGCCGAACGCATATATGCGGCGCTAGTCCGCAAAGGGTTGAAGGGTACCCAACGACGTGGGAATTAGAGAGGATTGGTTAAGGAAGAAGGAAAGGTGAAGGAAGGTATGGGAGGACAGAGTCCTGGCGCGAGTTTGGCCTGGTTGTCACCTTCTTCGGTCGTCGCAATTCTGATCTGTCTCTCTCTGCATCGAGCACCCTCGGTTCAGGATGCACCAGGCCAGGTCGCTGCGCGCGCGAGAAGTGTCAGCCGCGACAAAAAAGAATCGTTTATCCACGCCCTCAACCCCGTTTCCGCATAATAGATACGTAGCCACGTACACACACGCAGCATCCTCTCACTCACACGTACACGCGAGACAGCGACACGTAGGGTGGAAAGGGTAAAGGGAAACGGAGAAAAGAGAAAATTGCTTGGACCGGTCGAAGGTGCACGTGCGCGCGAGTTTCGTTCGATAACGACGTCCATTGCGACCCTGGTAAGTACGATTCGGGACCACTTCGCGGGAAGGTGTCAAAGGTGTCCCCCATGAGGGTTAAGGATGGTTGTCTTGTGGTTTCTATGGTGCTGCCGGTTGGTACCCTGATGGCCGTCTTGCTGTGATAGGTAGAGCAGTCAATCCTCCTAAAAACGGTATCTTTGTTTCCAGATTTGTCTCTGTCTCGACGTTAGCTTTATTAACATCTTATACACACTAGTACGAGTCACGAATACGAGGGAAACGACGATAAAGGTTGTGGGGTCCCTCCTGCAGGGGTTACGAAAGAAATCTTGTGGTTCCTATGGTGCTACCGGTTGGTATCCTGATAGACCTCTTGCTATGATAGGTAGCAGGTAGGACTGAATGAAGTGATGCGTATCGTCTTGGGCCTGATAATGGACTCGTCGGTAAAGCTTCTAGCAGACCTTGCCTTAGACGGGGGATACTTTGATAGCATAGGAACTTGTATCTATGGGGATCCAGAATTCATCGAGGACTCGCGTGAAACCTCAGACCTGAGATCTAGCAGTGAAGGTGTGAACGTTGATCGCTACAGTGTCACCCGGTCGAAGTGGTCCGTTCGTTTGCTCGTTTATTCCTTTATTCCTTCGTTTAGACAACTCCGCGAATCGAGTGTGTGATCGAACGGAATCCGCGTCGTGGATCAGCGAGATTTATACGCGTACACCGATAGCCGAGCAACGACCGCGTGCACGAGTTTCCTTTCCGATTGGATTTCGAGATGTTCGATGGAAAATAGCAGTCCTGTCTTTGAAAGTCTGATCGTCCCGCTGAATTAATCAGCATCGACCTGTGTCGTATACTTTTTCTTGTTTCGCTCGCCGGTTCAACCCTCGTCGCTTTTGCAATTCTATTAGTACGATCGGGGATGTTTTGAGGAAACGTGGATGATTCATGGGGCTGTGGCCGAGTCTGTATGTAACCAAATTACTTTCCTAGGTCGATGAAATATTCCTGAAAAGGTGGTCCCCACCTTGGACGAAAAACGGAGTCACGTTTCGATTAGGCCACGATCGACCTAGTTCCAGCGAGATAAATCAAGCCTGTGCCCGACCACGGGGCTTACTCGAAGAAAGGAACTCTTCGATAAGATTTGCGAGAATCTGGCCGAGACTGTTGTCCTTTATCGCGCATTCTGTATGAGAAAAGTTGCGGCCAGTGATTTTCTATGGCAACGCGAACTAGGTCGCAAGTCAAAGTTGCGTAATTGCAGCACTATCGGTTCCGGATAGCCGATTCCTAGCCGGAGATGCTCATAGAGCACTGGTCCGTGTTGCACCGTGTGTCTATACGTGTACAAGCGTGCGCATTAGAGATCGAGATCGTCGGTTTCTTCCTCGAGTGACTCTCCCAAGTCCAAACTTACTTGCCAGCTCGTCGCCATAAATTTAATCGTAATCGGATTCGAAACATCCCCAGCTTGTTTTTCGCTCTCTCGACTCCCTCTGACAGCCCAGGACGAAGCTCTAACCTTCTCGATCATCTTCTCGAGAGATCCTGTCGGAAGGAATTCAACAGAGTCAGGAATTCGATTCGCCAGCTCATTTCCACGTCTTTTAATTTCTCCTCGCTCTCCGACGACTCTTTATCCAGCCATTTCATCCGGGTCTCCATTGTCCCCCATTCTCAGTTGCTTCCAACTATTTCGCTTCCTACGAGTAATGCGATCATTTCCAGTCACGGATCGCGAAGGGAGCACTCGGACGGTAGGAAGGAAGCGACCATCTCGCGATCCTGCGCGTTTTCCTCAGAGGACCTTTGGATTCTCGGACGAAGGTCATTAACGCGGAGACAAATGGACGAAGAGAAAATGGCGTCGCGCTGCGGCGAGAAGGTTAGGTCTGCCTAGGTGGCTCACAGGCGAGATCTTCTTTAATTACTCCTTTTAATTACTCCAGTATCGTAATTCTTCGTTTTCTCGGCTAGCCTCCGTGCGATCAATCACGACGATCGACGCCTTCGTGGATGTTTGCTTCGACAGGCCACACCGTTAACGTCCATAAAACGTGTTTTCCCATGTCGGTTAATATCACTTAGGATATCCCGTCCGTTACCAACCGCGACATTTACTGCTTCGTAAACGTGTACACTTGCTCCACGCTCAACCTGGCAGAGGAGTCGTTTATAGACCGCAGTGTCATCCAACGAGTTGGACGGGAGCCTCGGTCGCCATTGAGCTCGCCACTGTGCTTCGTTGTTCCCCGATTCGTTCGGAAAACCGATGAAAACCGCGGTGTGCTCGGGTCGCCACTTTTTCCTCCTCGTTCCACCGTCGTATCTCCGTTCTCGATTCTTTCTTTTCGGTCCTCTCTTCTCAGTTTTGCGGCAAGACTCGCGAAATGCGGCGGAAACGTAGCAGAAACACGGTGCAGGTCCAAAACCGCGGTATGACAGGTCTGTGTGCGAAAATGAATCGCGCTATGACTGTTCTCAACGCGAAAATAGATGGCAAAAATGGTAACAATGGTGAAATGGTCGATTCCTTCGTCGACTCTGCAGGGTTTCAGGGTACCACCGATTTGTTTACGTTCTCGTCGAGTCTCGGAGGTTGGAATTATTCCGCGATAATGGAGGAAAAGTTGGCGTAAGTGAAAAAGTTTGGCGGATAGGAAGACTATCGGCGAGTCGTGGCAGGATTTTGGAGACCCGAAGAATGGACGGTATCGATCGTTGTAAACGATATTGGGTAAACCCTCGATTATACGAGGATGGCCTAGTCGGCGGCGTAAAAGCGAGATTACGACGATAGACCTGGAAGTGGAAGCGAGGAAAATTTTAAATACCGCGGGGACGCGTCTAGGTAGGTAGCGGTAGGTCATGGGAAGACGACGACAGTGAATCGAAGTCGGTAGTAAGCCAGGCGATCATTTATTCACGAATATTCCGGCAACCCTCGGCCTAAGTGCATGCGAGCCCCGATGCACGTTAATGCACACGTTCTCCATTCGATGCTTCGATACTAGCCGCTGTTCCATTCATGCCGCGAACAAGCTTTCCGGTTCATCGGCATCCACTGGACCCATCCCATCTACCCTTGGCTCGCCGGTTAATCGTAATCGAGGTGAAACGAGAAGAATCGACGAAGAACGCGCGTGTCCTTCGAACCTCTTATTACTTCCCTATCGACGATGCTTCCACCCGTTCCCTTTAACGATCACGAAATAATTACCAACTTTTTCGGCCGCGCGTCCTAATTGATTCACCCCGAATAGGTTCGAGTAGCTCGTTCAATGTAGCTTACTTTTCCTCTGTTTGACCTACTTGCCGTCGACGGTGAAATATTTTAACCCCGGCGCTCGTTCAATTACG